CGGACCATCCAACGAGGAGCAGCGATGATGCTGATGATGCTGCTGGCGCTGCTTCTGCGCACTGCTCCCGCTGCCCTGTGCCCTCTGCGCTGCTGCTGCTGACGGACGGGGGGACGAGAGCTTTGTCCAGCCGACGCAACCGGCGCCAGATGCCAACGTCGCTGTCGATGCATCGATGGCCATCGTCACTGCGGTCCGTCGCTGCCATCGGCTCACCCATTGTTGCCAGTTACCACCGCCAGCTGGGCGTTGCCTCGCACTGCATTGGCACGATCGCCGCAGCTGTGGCAGCGTCGCCCGTCGCGTGGCAGTGGAGATGCTGATGAACGCGTGTCTCGACTGCACTGCACGCCGTATTCACTGCTGACCCCCGGTGCAGCGCACCCAAACGCCGGAGCGCCGTGCAGACGACAGCGACAGTGCTAATCACTCGTCGCCGGGTCTGGCAGTCGCGCTGGGAGTATACGATGCTCACTGTTGCGCAGACACATTGAATTCACACACATGCACAGCTCAGACGCGGCCCAGAAATAGCAGACCTCCGGGCCAGCATGTGGCCTGCTCCGCACCGTGGAACCCTGTCTGCGCATTGACGGTCGGCCCATCAATAAATTGACGACAGGCTCACCAAGCTCAGTTGCTGACTCACCCCGTACACGTGACAGCGCGACTTATCGATTTGCTGAATGTTGATCAAGCTTGCTGTGCTTCACGATCCACAACTCGGACATCCACCACCTCGACGCCATGACGCCGTACCGGTCGGCGGATCGATCGCGGAGCAGCACTTCGCTGCTGCGCGCGAGTCCCAGTACTCGCTCCGACCATCATAGCTCTCACGAGTCGCAATCACTGCAACTGGTAGAGGATCTATCGCGGCTGCTGAGCGACGATGACCGCACGTTCAAGCGAAAGCTCGACGAAGAAACCCTACTGCAGCAACAGCGTCACGTTGAAGCGCTCGAGAAAGCACTGCAGCAGCATGAGGCGGTGCGCAGATCCGCCGAGCACACTTTCGAAGCAGTGCAGCTCGAGCTGGAACGTCAACGAATAACGCGTGAAGCGGCACAGGCGCGAAGGCTGGCCGAGGAGCGGAGAAAGCTGGAAGAAGCGAAGCAAGCAGAGCTCCGGCGCGTCGAAGAGGCTCGACAAAAGGAAGAGACACTTCGCAAAGAGCAGGAGCGATTGCTTCAAGAGCAACAACTTGCCAAGAAGCGCCGCGAGGAAGATGAGTCGCAAGCTCGCGCTCGCGAACAAGCAGAGGAGCAGAAGAGAGTTGAGACTCAGCGTAAGGCTACTGAGGAGGCGGCAGCTCGTGAAGCTCAGACCAAGAGGCAGGAGCAGCTGGATCAGCAGCGAGCCCAACAGGCTGCAGAAGCTGCTAACAGACAGCAGCCTACTGGCACTGCACAGTCGACTGTCCCTTCGGGCTTGGGGACCACACAAGCAGAGCGTGTCGAAGTACACAATGCCTACCTCAAGCTGCACGCGCAGTGCAAGGAGTTGCGCAAGGAGGTATCATTGATCAAAAACAGCAATCGCCAGCTGTACGACTCCATTCGAGATAACGCCCGGCACATCAAGCTCGCCGTCGGCCAGCTGGCTAAGAACGATTCGATTGGCAACCGCAAGAGGGTAAGTCATGTCTTCTTCCTTTTCTTTTTGGCCTATCTTGCTGACAGTGGATCTCAGATCAACACTATCCAGGAGCACTGGAAGTGGTCGATCACATGTTGCCCTTCAGAGACTGCTGACCTCAATTTGTACCGATTGCAACCTGTCGATCCTTTGCAGGTGCCGAAAGTCTTCTTGTACATGGTCAACTACACAGTCAAAATCATCCTCAAACAGCTGGCGTACGAGGCGACCGTAGACCCTGAGCATGCAGAGCCCATCGGTATACTGACAGCGACTCTGTTCTCGAAGCCAGAATTCAAGCCGGGTGGCCACTTCATGTCCGACATGTTGTGGGCCAAATTCCACAAGATCCACGCGGCCTTGTTTGGTCTCCGGTTCAACGAACTCACGCCCGATGGCAGACTGGCGCTCGGGTTCAAACGAGACGTGTATACGTCCAAGACCATGTGGCACGACGCGGTCCGAGCCCTATCACGAGGCTATGCCGCCATCACGCTCCGCGATTTCTCCAGGTCACAGAACGAGAACCCATTTCCAAACCGATTGTACTGGGAAGCATTATCGCGAGTTCTGACAACACCTGTCGAAGAGCGCATATCACTCCACTACGTGACGGTGGATGGCATGCTCGACCCCCTGTTCGTGCCTCGCTTCATCAAGTTCTACGGCAACAACGCGCTGGCCGCGATGAGAGCGGCTGTGCTGGAGTTTCCAAAACCGCCACACCGAGAAGGCCACGAGTTGGCCAAGACGACTTTACAGAAATTGAGCGTCAAGTTTCAGGAGCAGCTCAATTTACGATTGTAGTGCAAATTCGGGAATACAGGCACTCCGTACACTCTGACCATTTCAAAGGGCACCCCTCCTGCTTCTCGTACGACTGTGAACGCTCCATACAACAAACATGTCCACACCGCGACCTGGAACGCCCCAAGCGTTCCGATGTATATGGACGAGAATGCTCAGTTGCCACAAGCCTTGAACGGAAAAACGACAACTTTCCAGCAAAAGCCGCCCATACCAATAAGTACGAACGTGAATGCTGTGAAGAGCGAGCTTTTGTCTGGTGATAAGACAAATCAGCCATCATTGGTCTCAGTGAGGAAGTCTGAGAACGGATTGCCACTAACGCACTCCATATGGGCCCCGCCGGGTGTCAGCACAAGGTCCGACGCACGTACACACCCGCACAGCACTGCTGTCGTGAGCGGTCGCGTGGGCGTGACGACGAGATCACCCACCAGCATCCAATGGAGGCCAGGTCCTGTCATCAAGTCAGGTCTCTCCAACAACTTGTATCGTTGATACCGAGCATAGACGGTCTGCGCAAGACCTCATGTTCAGCATATCCCGTCTGTTTGGTAGCCTCAGTATGCCACATAGCAGGCCCTAAGTAGTGCTCAAACCAATCCAACGTAGCTGTCGTCAGTGACTGCACAATTTTGATCAAGTATTCATTTTCATCCCTTTGCATGCACAATGTCAGACGCTGTATACTGAACCCCTTCCATAGCCCGGATGGAAAGCAGAACATGAAGTACATAGAGAGTAATGACTCTCCAATCCGGTCGCACTTGGCCAATACATTAATGTCTCATACATCAGAACAGCATAGGAGGGAAGCTGTCTTATCATCGTACCGCTCTGCCTGAAGCAAGCTTGAGATGTCCTTGTGCGTCCCTAGTGCCTGCCAGTCTCCATGCTCATGACAACAGTTCCAGACATCACTCTCCACGACAGACATAGCCGCACAGCCTTCAGCGCAGTGAAGCAGCGGTGCTGTCTTGACCTCTGGGTCATTCAGCTTGAAGCACCTTCTCGATGGCCGTCAGCTTGCTAACCAGAAGTGCAAAGCCATCTTCTCCGCTGTCTCCTGAAAACCATTCATCGATGTTGTGTGACCAGTTGGCGCTTGTCCCCACAGCAAGATCTTTGTTCCGCGAAAGGTTCTCTGCCCACTCCGGCCGAAATACGTTGAGCTTCCATGCTGGCTCGAACACAATCGTTTGACCTCCAGAGAATGTGCGGTCCTGGAAGCGCACCAGATCGAGATTGTAATCCGTGCCCTTGATGTTGAAACGATATCGTACTTCGTATCTTAGTGATTTCAAGGTAACGCCCGCTGAGTTGTATTTGACGGTGAACTCATCTGATGCGTTGAAGGGAGCTTGTAGGCTGACCGAGGCAGCGAACTGTGAGTACTTTTCGAGCAACTTGCTCGGGACGACTGAAAGTTCTGCGGTTAGGTCGAATTGCCAGGCAGTCCCGGTGTGTAAGTCGGTGAGGGAGACGTCAAGAAGATGCGTAGCGCTTCTGTGGAATTGGTCGGGATTCGCAACCATTCGGAATGCTCCAGGCTCAGTCTCGCTCTCGAAGTCACTCCTCTGCCATGACTTCACGAGGCGCACGTCGCTGTCTTCGGCAGGGAAGGTGAAGATTGCAGCGTACGACGGCAAAACCTCTTCCAGGCGATCAAGAAACGCATCCTGCGGACAGAAGAGATCGTCTGCCGCTTGTACAGCGGAGAGCACGTCAGCTCCGACTGGGTTGGCAAGTCTAGCAGTAGTCAGTAAGCGCTGTTGCACTAATTCAGTACCATAACTCACTCTTCAGACACTCGAGCAGCGAATTGTGGCTGCTTGATCATTGCCTCATACTCGTCCAGCTCGTACAAGTCGAGGCCAGCTTGCGGCGGCATATACTGCTCCAACAGCAAAGTGCCCAGCCGGATGCCCAGTGTCAGCTGGCCCCGAAAGTAATGTATCTTCTTTAGCGCATTTGCTAGAAGCATTTTCGCGCTCTGAACACTGAGCATGGAATCGGCCAGTGCATTGACCCTGGCTCCGAGAGCACCTTCCCCACGCGGGGCACGAATGAGCTCCTCATCATCGCCTGTCGAGGTGGACTTGAGTGGAAGTGGTCTTTGGTACGGCTCAAGAGCAATGTGAGAAGGCACGGCGCTTGATCGCCAGTGATTGAAGTATCTCCTCACGCCGTTCATGGATCGCGCAGTCAATTGAAAATAGGCAGATCGCAGTCGCAGAAGGGCATCCGTGACGTTCTGCACATTGTCTCCCATGACTTGGAAGCAATTCTTCTCGGGCACCCATATTACGTACGACTCGCAGCCGACACGGATGAAGTCTAGGGCTTCACAGTGATTGCCAAAGACCTCCTGGGGTTTGTAGTCATTACTCGGCCAAATGAAGGTGCCAATCGATCCGAAAGGCTGGTCGATTGGCGGTGGTTGCCGAAATCGACTGCTTTGAACCGCACGCGCCCAGCGCTTCTCATGACGGCGTCGCAATTCCGGTGTCAGTGAAGCTAGTTTAGCGAAATTCCTTTCTTTGGCAGTTGGTCCGCGATCATCTCTGAGTGCGGTCTTGATAACAGGACGACGTGGGCGTGAGGAGGCCGAGGCATTGCTGCTCTTCTCGAATGCCTTGCCGTCGAAAGATACGCTTCCACCAGCGCGAGGGGGACGACTTGGAGCGTCAGCTTGGCTCTGAACCTGACTGGGCTGCTGGGTGTCGTCCGGGACAGCCTGCTGCCAGCTGCGTGAGTTCTCGGCCTCGTAGTCCATTATGGTGGCCGCTCCCGAAATGAGCGTCTCGCAGTTGATGCTCTGTGATGAGGCAACTCTGTGTGGTCAGATGTAGGAGACGTTGTGCTCACGTCGACTGGCGGAGGCGCTGGTGCTTAAGCTCATGTCGATTGACGAGAACTTTGCGCGCAGTCATTGGGAGTGTGTGCGCTGTGTGATTCAGAAAGGAAAGGCTTGAGCAAGTCGCCCGAAGCCAACGACAAAATTGAGGAAGTCGCGACAGTTCTCACGCGCGAGTGCCGCTGCCAGCGTTTGCTCACCAGCATACTACGATATATGCGCAGTGATAGGTAAAGTGCCCATATGGCATCAACGTCTGTGTGGCTACATCAGGAATGCGCGGCGTGGATCACAACGCGACGCATTCTGATAGGAGTTGCACACGATTACTGTGAGACGCATTGAGGGAAGTGTGAAGTGAAGTGAAGACACTGGGCTGGGATGCCGGGATGTAGTCTCGCTTCGGCCTTGGCATTGTCGCGCCGAAGCTAAACTTGTCGCGTAGGCACGCGTCGCTCGCCATCCGGCAACTGCAGCTCAACTGATCGCCTGTAACGTAAAATGGCACCGCGTCGAAAAACAACGAAAGCTGACCGCGCCAGGAAGCTTCTGGGCGGAGTGTTGCGGGAAGACTCTGATGATGAGCTGGGCCAGGAAGATCACCCCTGGGAATGGATATTCGACAGCGATGGCAGGACGATCAAGGGTGCTCGCATGGGCGCTTTCGAATGCTTCGTAGGAGATCCGGTCCTTCTGAAAGCCGCGAACAATGAAGCATGGGTCGCACTACTTCACTCCTTCGCGGAAGAAGAAGACGAGGACGAGGACGGCCAGGCAATTACCGAGAAGAAGGCGACCATGCTGTGGTTTTCCTCAGAAAAGGAGATCAGAAATAACAAGAAGAAGCGTCAAGATTTCATGGCCAATGAGTTGTATATTACCGCCAATTTTGACAACAACGCGTTGGCTACCATCAACGGCAAAGCCCAAATCTGCTCCAGAGAAGAATTTGACCAGCGATTTCCTTCCGGCAAGATTCCCCGGACCTCCAAGTCGTATGGCAAGCTCTTCGTATGCAGAAGGGGAGTCAACATCCGCACGACAACGTATTCAGATGAATTTCGATGGGAGGATCTTTACAAGGGTCCAGAAAACTTGGATGACGTGGTCGCATTCGTAGAGTCACAGACGGTAGGGACACGGAAACGCAAGAATGCGGCCAGAGACAGAGAGCTTGACGAGTTCGTTGAGGGCGACGGGGACGAGGACGAGCCATCGACGCCGCGGAAGAAGCGCAAATTGGCCGCTGGAACGCCAACACCATCTCGAAATAAGAACACCACCCCACGAAAGTTCACAACACCTAGCGGACGCAAGATAATCACTAAAAGAGCCTTGGAATTCACACCGCTCGGCACAAGAATCCTGTCACCTGCACAAACGCAGTCATCGCCGCATCAAATCGCAAGGTCCAGTCTTCACGTCTCTGCAGTGCCCCACGCCCTGCCCTGTAGAGAGACCGAATTCGATACCGTCTACTCACATCTCGAAACTGCCATCTCAGCTGGTACGGGATCGTGTATTTACATATCGGGCACACCCGGAACAGGCAAGACTGCAACGGTTCGCGAAGTTGTCAGCAGTCTGCAGGCAGCTGTCGCTGAGGAACAGCTCGACGATTTCTACTTTGTCGAGATCAATGGCATGAAAGTCACCGATCCTCATCAATCGTACAGTCTGCTGTGGGAAGCGTTGAAAGGAGATCGCGTAAGCTCGAACCATGCACTTGAACTACTAGAGCGTGAATTCACGACTCCCAGCCCACGACGAGTTCCTTGTGTCGTGCTGATGGACGAGCTTGATCAGCTCGTGACTCGGAACCAAGGCGTCATGTATAATTTCTTCAACTGGCCACAACTCCGACATTCGAGGCTCATTGTCCTGGCTGTTGCGAACACGATGGACCTGCCCGAGCGGACGCTGTCCAACAAAATATCGAGTCGATTAGGTCTGACTCGCATCACGTTTCCGGGATACACACACACACAGCTCATGAAGATCATCCAAAGCCGTCTCGAGGGGTTAGGGCAAGTTGTTGTGGAACCGGATGCGGTCCAATTCGCTAGCCGAAAGGTTGCTGCTGTTTCAGGCGATGCGCGGCGGGTGCTGGACATCTGTCGTCGAGCTGTTGAACTTGCCGAACAGGATGCACTGCAAAATGACCGGATTGATCAGGAGAACCAGACTCCTACTGCCCCAGGCAAGACACCACTCAAAGAGAAGAAGGCATCCAGCAAAGGCGTGGTCACAATTGCAACAGTCAAACAGGCGATCAACGAAGCGACCTTGACACCTTTGGCGTCACATTTGCGGTCGTTACCTCTCACCAGTAAGCTATTTCTTGCGGCTCTTCTTGCACGAACACGACGAACAGGTCTCTCGGAGTCTACGCTATCCGATGTTACTGACGAAGCTCATCGTATGAGTACTATAACGACGAACAAGAGCCTGACAAAGCACTTGCTCGCTGTGGCACCCAGCTTAGAACAACAAGAAATTGGGAGCGACACAGTTTCCATGACGCCCTCGAAGCGAGGACGACCGGTCCAAAAGCGCGAAGTGGAGCACGCAGCTCGGATCAATGGTCTCGGTGTAGCTGCGCGGGAGCTCTTTGAAGCGGGCATCATTGGACTGGAGAGTAGACATGGTGATCGCGTAGGACGAGTTCGCTTGGGTGTTGCTGAAGAGCAGGTTGCTGATGCACTTAGAGACGACAAAGATTGCATCGGTCTCACATAGGTACATAATAGACAGAAACTTTCTGACGTTGCGCGTGGTATGTTGCACACTTGAGCCATTTCAATCATGACTTTTGTAGACATTATTCGAAGCACCCAAGATTGATCCACATTCTCACACGCAAATGCATACCGGGATGGCCCCTGCTGCCAGCTCGCTTGAATCCCTTAGCGTCACAGAGAGGTGAATGCACGTGATCGTGCGGTGCCTTACTCATCACTTGACCGATGGACTCTGACCTTCACTAAACATTCGACTGCACTATTCGCGTTTGCAACTTCACCGCCCACAACGCCAAACACAACACTCCGCCCAATATCCCCGTCGCCCACTACTGAATCAGCATGAGCGAGGACGAGGTGCTGCAGGCGAGGATTGCCGCGCTGGCAGGACAAATCAATAAGCACCGGCAACAACCACCGCGTCAAGGTCTAACACAGCACTCGTCCTCTACGCACGATGCAGCGCATTTCGTTCGCGGTGCGCACCGCTGGTCGCCATACTCGCCCGGAGCGCGGCCTCTCATACCTCACCCAGTCAAGAATCGCACGCTTGTGCTTGGTGGCGGCTCGAACAACCTATCTAGCACTCGAGTCAACGATGTGACACCACGTCCCATCGAACCGTCGGTCGCGGCGTCTGGCCGCTTCGTGACTTCTCGAATGGGTAATAGATCGCAGCTTATGACAAAAGAGACATACGAACGCGAGCAACGCCAGCGGCAAGAGTATAAGGACAAGCGCGCAGGAAATACTGCATTTTTCGCGCCGCAACAGACACGAAATGCCCAACAGGATATCCCGTCGACTCCAGCCACTCGTGTGCTCGAATTTGATGGGATCCAGTTCGAACTCCAGCCACATGGCGACAAGCTCGTGCGCCTCGCTGGTAAGCAACACGTGAATTCCAGCAACCGGACCGGACTAAGGAGCACAGATCCAGCTACGGCCGACGGGCAGACGCCGAGGAAAGTGACCATCGCAGATGTCGACTTCTTACGCACCAAGAATGGGAACCTCATTCGCGCCATGCCAGCCACTCAAGACAATACGAGGTATCTTGGACGTGCCAGTGCCCATGACCCGGGACCTCGCTTACATTATCGTACCTACAGACCACCTGCACCAGCCTCGCGAAAGCAGTGCGAAAAATTCACAAGACACGGTACCATTTCTACCCACCTCCGACCAACTGGCTACTTGCTTGGAACGACTCGGAGCTCCTACCTTGTCAGGCATGGCGGCAATCCTCTGCTGCATACTAACATGGTCACAGGTAACTGCCCTTTCGGTCCCTCTTGCAGGAACCGCCACGACCCAACTCGAATCGCCATCTGCAAGGAGTTCTTCACGAAAGGCTCCTGTACGGCAGGCAAAAACTGCGACCTGTCACACGAGCCCACATATCATCGGGTGCCAGCATGCACATATTTCCTCCGCGGCAACTGCACGAACAGTGCATGCCGCTATGCCCACGTCACCGTTTCTACTTCTACCCTCGTGTGCCGCCCCTTCGCTACTCTTGGCTATTGCAGCAAAGGAGTCGATTGCGGCAAGCGTCATGTGTTTGAGTGTCCTGACTATACTAATCACGGGCGCTGTGAAGCTCGAGAGAAAGGTCTTTGTTCTCTGCCGCACATCGATCGCGCCAGCTCTCTGCGCAAAGCTGCGAAGCGGCGGGGCGATTCGCACTCCGATGATGACACGGATCTGTCGAGTGCTGAGGAAGGCCAAAGTGCCAGTGAGGGAGATGAAGATTCCGACATCGACATCACCATGGGAAACGAAGACGACAGCCATGAACTTACACAGCAGCGAGACTACGTTCGATTTCCATCGTACAGCCGTGACTAGGCTGGCTGGCCGCAAGAGTGACCATTGAAGTCGCGAGCAGCGCAGCATACCCTTGAGCGCTAGCTCATGTACTTTCCAGAAGAAAAATACCGGCCGAATTCCGGCAGAGCATATTCGAGACTACAATAGCTTTAGCGAAGAAAGAAATGAAAAGACAAGATTTGACAACAGCATTTCGTCCAAATTCACCAGCGCAAGACGTTGAAACTGTTCCGTGACAGGTTCACATGGTGACCTCGTCTAAGGATGAAAGGCATCGGATGAAGTCTCGCGCGACGAACAATGATGTGGGAGTAGTCGTTCAAGTACAATTTTGCCCCAGGACAACTCATAAGCAGAGTTACTCGTGAAAAGCGACCAGATGATGAGACATTTCGGCAACTAGATTTTGTATACATGAAGGTATTGGCGCAAGGTAGTGGTACAATATCCCCGACAGCTGTACGCAGCGCCATCTTGCACGTGGTCAAGACGACGAGCTGAGAACGATGCATGGCTTTGGGCAGAATTCTTGGCTCGTGATTGGTACGACACTGCGGGAGCGAACGAGAAAAGGTGTCTTTGTCTGCATTGCACGCATTTGACCTCAGAGTTGTATAACGCGCCGGGACGCATTCGTAGACGCCGTGCGATCGAGCGTGCAATACGTTGGTCGGCTGCACTGACGGTCGTGCCACTTGCCGAGCCACAAAGACAAACTTAGGAGCTACCTAATTGAAACTCGACGCAACAAGGCGCTCTCAGCTCAGCCTCTGCGGATCTGCACGCCCTTAATAAGGGCCACGACCGCAGAGGCGGAGGCATAGGAACTGTGAGGACAACCCCAATGCGGTAGGCTATTTCGTGTGACTTCCTTGTTGCGCCATCTAGTTTCATCTGTCTGCCGCCGCCACTACTCGACCACACGGAGCGCGTAGCACATGCAAGAGATCTCCCACTAACACCAACGACAAAATGCCGGGCTTACGGGACATTTTAAAGAAGAAGGACAAAATCAGCAATGAAGCGCAACCTGCGCCTGCTGCCCTCGCCCCGCCTGCGCCTGAATTCACGATCATCCGCTCGACTACGAACTTCCAAGAGATTCTGGAGCCGCCCGCACACCCTCAAGACGACAACGACGCCAATCGCCCTCGCGATAGCAAAGAGAAACGGCGCTCGCTAGGGCTGCGCGGCTTCTCAAGCTCATCAGCAGCGAAAGATCTATCACCTGAGGCGCATAAGTCGAGCCAGCAGCTAGGCGTGCGACCTCGAGGAGAACGGCGCCTCTCTGATCGGCTGCATCTACACCGTCGAGATCGATCACGCTCTGCGTCGGCAGAGACGAGTAGCAATCTCCCAGAGGACTTGCCTGCCGCACCTCAGGCATTGGCAGCACGGCCAAAGGAGAAAAGCGTGGACGATGCTGCGACTCAGGCAAACAAGGAGCAGCAAGATCAGGAGCAAGAACAGCGAGAAGCACAATGGGAGAAGCGGGCGACAATGCTGGCCATGAGCAGTCCTTTCCGCGAGACCGGAAAGGCCCCTGGTCCGAGCAGGAGCAGGAGTCCGAGCATTTCAGACGCTTCGGGGGACATCAACATCCAAGAAGCTATACGCCTGCATGAAGAAGGCAAGCTCAAAGAATCGAGCGAGATGTTCGGTGCATTGGCCAATCCTAAAGGTGCAAACAATGCGCTCGCAGCTGTGCTATATGGCCTTGCTTTACGACATGGCTGGGGCATACCCATTGACGCTGAGAAAGCCATCTACTACCTGTCTTTGGCAGCATCGAATTCCGCCTCAGTCGAAGAACAGGCTCTGGCATCTGGTATGAAGAAAGGAGGGTCGGCACGCGGCGAGCTCGTCCTTGCCATTTTTGAGCTGGCAAACTGTTTCCGAAATGGTATGTTACACGTTCCGTACAAGGCAAATGCCAGCCCCAAAAGCATATGTGAAAGCTGATCCATCACCAACAGGCTGGGGTGTCGCGAAAGATCCAGTCGCGGCTAGACAGTACTACGAAACCGCCGCAAATCTCGGCGATACTGACGCCATGGAAGAAGCAGCATGGTGTTATCTGGAAGGCTTCGGAGGAGCCAAAGACAAGGTACGTACTACTTTCTCATATTATTATCGTGTATCCCGCGCCCACCCTCGGTCTCGGCCTTTGGTATCGAACCGCCACGCTGCAAAACATTGGGCAAGGCTGCATTATGTTCGAGACCGAGCCACTTGCGTGACGCAAGCCGATTATTCTGCTCTCGCGCGGCAGGCGCAGCGCTGCAACTGTCAACATGACAGCCCAGTCCAGGTCACAAGCGAGAGCACACAAAACCAAGGTCGGCTGCACAACGTCGTCCACTCGGCCATGCTGCCACCATGCAGCAAGCAGCAGCAGCAGTAGAGAGGTCAGACCCGTGGAGTGGTCATTCGGCGTCGTCGTCTCGAGGTTCTGCCCTGGAAATTGGGCCTTCATGCAACCTGCACGTCAGCTGCATGTCAAGCCAAAAAAAAAAGCGGGAATCATTCTTGGAGCTAGTCAGCTAACGACATTCGTCTTTTCCAACATCTAGTTCAAAGCGGCGCAGTACTTACGCTTGGCCGAGTCGAGAGGATCGAAAGGAGTTTCCCAAAGCTGGTGAGTCAAGCATAATCTCTTTCTCTCTTTTTCCGTGTTTTTCCCTCTTCTTGCATCGAGCCGTCTTGACCCGGCACACACCGCTATTCTTAATCCACTCTGGAATCACCAATCGCAATTGAACTTGCACTCTTTTCCTCATCGCCCCATCACGGCCAGGCGGCGATACACTTGTACCTTGCTTTCCAGTCGGTTCCGAGCTATGCGACGGGGGCACTGCCGGCTTGTCTGCTGCACCTCTGAACCATCGGCTATTTCAGCAGCTGCACGCAGGGTGCCGACTGTGCTCTCAAAATACCTCAGCAGAAGCTAACCACTTGACCAACAGGATTTGGAAGGACAAGTACAATCCTAAATGACATCACGATGTAAAGAGAGAAGGAAAGCCACGAGACACAGTACCAGAGTAACAGACTCCACATGGGAGCAGACCGTGGATTTGGTCGAATGTACAGCAGTATATATCCCGTTACACGCAACCGACATCTAGACCGTGCTTCCTTCGTAATCATGTCATACCATTCATTCATGCTCGAGGCGAATCTGCCGAGCTCCCGTAATTCCTTCAAACGTGACCTTCGTAAAGCGTGCAGAAAGATAAGTAAAAAGAAGAGGTTTTTGTAGACGAGCGAACAGAAATCCGCGAAAAGAAAAGCGTAGAGCTCGTCCATGGTGGGTATCGCGAGAATGCAATATTATATCAAGTTCCTTTTCCTCAATTTGTTGATTTGAATGAGATCTGAAAAAGCCGAGAATTCCTGGTCTGTGGACCGGTTTCTGCTGTGGAGTTTTAGATCAAAAGAAAAAGCGGTTGTCCAGAATGTTGTGTCGTGAGATTGTCGTCTATATTGTTCAATGCCGTTATGATGTGTCAGTCTTGAGATTGTTCCCGTTGCTGCCTCGCCGATCGATTTCGTTATGTTCACGAACCAGTTCCTTGAATTGTCGCACCACGTCTGACGGTATTTGGCCCCAAAGCAGACTTCGAGTGTAGACCTCTGCCTTATTGCTGCCAGGTTGATCTTGTTCGAGATTTGCCAGCGCCTCTGCGAGCACACGCCGTTGCGGGGGCCCGGATTCCTGGTTCATTGGCTGATTGTACGCGTGCCCATTGCCGTTTGTGAGCGAAGCATATTGCGCTTGCGTCAAGGAAAAGGCCTGGTCGATCTGCTGTTGCTTGGTCGAAGTTGTTATGGCGTGATGCATACGGTCGATTTTGCTCGATCTGCCCGGAGCAGGCTGGCCAGAGGGAAGCGGTTCTGGTGCAGCTTCTGTTGTCGATTGGTAACGGTTCTCTCCGTGAGGAACGCCACTCTCTGCAAGCAGGCTATCGAGGACAGCAGGAGCTGCAGCCCGTACATCAGGTGGCATCTGGGGCAAGTCGTGTGGTTGCGAAGCCGGTGGTTTGGAAGCGATCCAGGCACCGCACAAAAGTAGCATGAAGAGGAGGCCAGAAGCGATCGGCTGATCAGTGACTGCCTCTGTGCTGCGCTTGCTTGTGCTTTGCACGGCGTTGCTGGGCACAGAGGTCTTCTTGGAAGGTTCGTGTTTGGCGCCGAAAGAAAAGTCGTCAGATGCATTGTTGGAAAGGTCGTTGACGAAGATGAAGTTGTCCCAGTCGTGCGTTCCCATGTTGAGTGCTTCCATCTCCGCGTTGAAGTCTGTGAATCCAGTGCTGCTCGGAGCAGCTGACATTGCTGGGGCGGGTCCGATTTCAAGCTGCTCTGTTAGGATCTGAACCCTCCTTCTCAGTTGCGAGGCTTCCTCGTTATGTCGCATCATGAGTTCACGCTTCTCGTCCTGCATGGTGTCGATGATGCGTTGCGATTCGGCAAGTCGCTGATGCATGACCTGTCGTTCTCTCTCGCGCACATCGCGCTCGCGTGTGAATTCTCCTAGTTGGGCTTCGAGCATGGCAATCTGGGTTGTGTAGCTCTTCTCCTTGACTTCAAGATCTTCAGTGTGCTTCTTCTTCCTCTGCCGAGACGCCAGTCTAATGGAGGATTAGCAACAAGGCAAACTTTGGACATGATTCAGGGATACTCACGCTGCTTCACGATTTCGGAGGAGACGCTTTTGTTGCTTGAGTTCTTTTAAAGTGTCTTCGTCCGTGGTTTGCTCAATCAGCTCGTCAATGGTTTGGATATTTCGCTCGTGAGGGATGTCGATCCTGCCGTTCTTCTTGCGAATGCCGTCCCTCCGCTGGAAGTCGATCATGGTGCGAGGAGGCGAGGACGGTCTCATGCGTTTTGATGAGGGCCTGCCCTCCATTTCCTGCTGTGCCATGCCCATCCAGTCCTGATGCGAGTGCGGCGACATGGGCGTCTGGACCTGAGGCGCCGGAATGAAGTGTGCTTCCGCGTGCTGCGGGAACTGTTGGTGGGGAGGGTGGTGACTGAAGCTGCCATGCGCGCTGTCTGCACGATTGTGGACGTAGTGCGACCCTCCCTCAAATGGTGGAGGTGGTGGCATGAACTCCGCGCCAGTGGTCGGCGTGCAGTCGCCAGAGCCATGCTCGAAGGGCCACGGGCCCGGCTGATGTTGTTGAGCAAAGGCCGGCGGGGGATGGAGTGGTTGCTGGCGCACAAAGACAGCAGCATCGTCGTGGAAGGGTCCCGGAGCTCCTGGTGCAGTGGATTCGACGGCTATCGGACCAGAGTACTGATGGTCCCATGCCTGAGAGTCGGCGGGCGAGAGCACGCCATGGGTGTTGGCGAACGAGTCCTTGCGGAAAGAGGTACCAGTCGGACTGTGCATGTCGGGATCCAGTATGGTAGGATCCAGCACCGCTGAGTCCTCGTCAACGAACGCTGCAGCAGAATGCGACTGGTACGTGTTTGCGTAGGCCATTTAGTAGGTGACAGCTCGGTCGAGGCGGTGTAGGTGAAAGCTTAAGCTGCGCAGCGCACGCGCGTGGGGAGCAGTGCCTGACTCTGCTTCGTCCAACACGCAGTGGCGGAGGCAGCCGGGTTCATGGAGCGCGGGCGCGGTGGCAGGAGCGGCAGCAGCAGTGGCAGGCGCAGGTGCGGCAGCGATGATGGGCAGTCGGAGGGTGAATGTGAGCGACAATCAATGCTGGAAGAGGATAGAGGTGGCAAAGGCGTAGGGATGACCTTGCTTATACTCGCGATCCAGAGTCTAAACACACAACTGCAGCAGGCAGGTGGGGAGGATAAGGTACTGTAAGTGAAGGAGGAGGGAGGCTACGCGCGGGACGGGCCCGGTTGCGAGCGCAGAGCAAAGCGCACGCGAAAGATGGTCGCAGGCGATGGCGACAGGGCTCTGCGAGGGCGTGCTGCTGCTCGGTGGTGCCCAAATCCCATGCAGAACATTGATTGGCTTTGGGTAGTGGTGCATGCATGAA